AAAAAAAAAAAACTATTGGTTGGTACTCGTCCAAAGTTGTGCCACGTGGGTCCTGTAAAATCTGTTGGATTTACTGACTCTATAATATTCCATTCCAGGTCGGTGAAGACTAACCACTAGGGTTGAGTACGAGTCTTGGTGATTACCGAACGGTACTCAAAACCGAATCGAATTCACCCCGAAACAAAATATCCGTTGATCGTTTAACTATCTCCGAACCGAACCGAACCGTACCGAATTTTTTTTGGTACGGATCTGGAGATTCATAAAATATTCGTACCGAGAACCGAACTGAACCGAACCGAACCGAAAATAATCCTACCGAACCGAGGAACCGAACAAGAACCGATTCTAATTCAAAATCCATATAAGTATATGTATATGTGTGTGTGTGTGTGTGTATATATATATATATATATATTATATTTTATCATATGTATTTTTTTCATCTTTGTACATAATTGAATTCAATAAAATCTACACACATTATGTTTATGTCCATAGACTATCATAAGTTATATTTCAAATTGAGTTGCGAAAAAACATCCAATATTGAATGTTAACAAAATTTAAAAACTGAAAAAACAATTATTTTATTCTGGTACAACTTATGAGACACTATTAAATCTAAGATCTCATTTTTGAATAAATTTTTGGAAAAAAAAAAATCAAATTAATATACTCTTTATATTACAAAATTTGATAGCCAACATGTCAAATATTTTATTAAGAAAATCATTAAATATAACTTAATAAAATTTAAATACCGAATGTTTAGGAAACTGGTCTTTATGAAGTAAGTCTTTCACAAAACTTGGAAAAAATTATTAATTTAAAGGTAATATATTTTAAAATAAAAATAAATTGAAAGACATCTTTACCATATTATTCGATTATGAACCGATATATCGATCAATTTTATTAATAAAATTAGTTATAATTTAATAAAATTAAATATCTTCACTTTTCGAAAATAAACTTTTGTATGTACTATATCTGAATCTCACGATATCGGTGGAAAGAGATTAATTTATTTGGATATAATTAATTTCCAAAATATACTTTTATTTAATAAGTAACTATCTTTAAATTGACTATTGTTAATGTACGTCTTATCATTTGCAGATTATTTTGGCATATAAACGTTTAGCATATATATCTTTCAAATTAAATTATGATATTTTGAATTTAAAAGATAATTATCATTTTTTTATAAAATAAAAAAGATATTAACCACCTATTCTTGCTATTAATTGACGAAATATCTTTGATATTAAAGAGAGATTTATGATTTTCTTTCATCCATGATATGTACCATCTAACATGCAATTGGGAGTTTTTATTAAAAAATAATATAATAATAATAAAAATAAAAAATCTCCGAACTCTCCTATCCATACCGAACCAAACCGACCCATTAGAACTGATTCTCCGAACAGAACCGACAATTTCGATTTGGTTTGAACGGAGATTTATTAGAACCGATTCTGTGGCGGAGATTCAATTTTTGAAATCTCTAAAGTTTGATTCAGTTCCGGAGATTTCTGGATCTCCGAACCAAACTGAACGGATCCGTGTTCAGCCACTCCTAACCACACCTCTCATCTCATATTAAAACCACCAAAAATCCCAATCCACAAAATTCTGTTTGAGTTGACTCACCAAAGGGTGTGTATCGTCGATCGCCGGCCTTCGGCCACCCACCACAATGGCCACCGCCGTCACACCCCAATCCTTCCTTTCTCTCTCCACTCCGAAACTCAAAACCCATCCGAACAAGCGTATCTTTTGCCCTAAATCCCAGCCACCTCCCGCTGCCGCCATGATTTCACTGAAACCAAATTGCAGAAGACAACCCCTGCAGCTGGTGAATTCAGTTGCCGGAGACCTTGACCGGAGTGACGAGTGTGCGGAGCAGCAGGGCGGCGTCGTTTGTATGGAGAGCGAGGCCGAGAGGTCGGAGGTAGTGGATCAGGTCGTTGGGGGTTTTGGAAGTGAAAGCGCAGGGATGTTATCGTTCGATGGTGCAACTGGGTTTTCCTCTTCAGCTTCCGGCGTAGGTGGACCACCGGGGTCCGGCAACGGGCAAAATCAGGAGAAAACGGGGAGGTTGATCGATAGGACTATTAACGCGGTTATAGTGTTGGCTGCCGGCTCTTTTGCCATCACCAAGCTGCTTACCATTGACCACGAGTATTGGCAGGTGACTTGGCTCGGCCTTATAGTAGTTACTCTCTTTCTTTCCTTTGTGGTGGTAGCTGTGACTATGTTTAGGCTTTTACTTTCATGGTTGAATCTGTGTATATGAAAAATTGCTTCTTGATGTCAATTGTCGTATTAAGTTCTTGCAATTATTTGTGAGCACTGGCCACTGGGATCGACTGTTGCAATTTGTGTTCAAAATTGATGGAGCTTGTTTCTTGGTCAGCACCTGTTTTCATTTTAAGATAGCTTGAATTTTGTTTAGCCTTTCCAATAATCTTTTTACCATCCGGCTGGATTTTGTGAGTGTATCACCGCTGCTTCTGCAAAGAGAGTATGCCTCGGTGCATGAAGTACCAAAAGTTCCTTTTTTATTGGCTAAAACATGAAACTTAACGGCTTTTACATTACTTCATAATATGGTTTAGAAGAATTGTATCTTCTTTCTGTTTTATTAGTTAACCTTGAGATATTTCTCTATTTCGAAGTGGTGGGAGAAGTCTACCAGTAAATCATGTTGAGGACTATGAAAACAAGATTGTCATTGTCCTAAACCATTTACAGTTAGTCTATCTATTGTTTCAAATGGAGTTTAAAAAACAGAAAATGATTGGTGGCTTATGATGTCAGTTATTTTAACCTTTTGAACTATCTTGTGTGTGTATATATATAATATATATATATATAATAAATAAAATGCAGTATCTTATATATTGGTTGCATTTATTTATTTATTTATTTTTTTGGGTGTTTGCTTGAGTTCTAATTCACTGCTTTCTCTTGCTATTTGAATGGCATGTAGGTGGGTATGTAATCTCTTATCTACTTTACTTCTATACATTTCCTGCTTCCTTATGCCCATCCCATTTTGATCACCATCAATGTGGTCCAGTAAGTGTTATTATTGTATCACATGCCTGTGCATTAATATATTGTATATCTGAGTTTTTGTTCCTGCAGGGATGGACTCTCTTTGAAATATTGAGATATGCACCTCAACACAATTGGAGTGCTTATGAGGAAGCTCTTAAGACAAATCCAGTATTTGCAAAAATGATAATCAGTGGAGTCGTTTATTCCGTGGGAGATTGGATTGCACAGGTTAGACATATACGTTAAATGAAACTTACTCCATGAAGAAACTACTATCATAGTTGCATATTATTTTATGGCGCTTTTGTTTTAATTATTATGACTTCGCATGATTGTTATAGTGTTATGAGGGAAAGCCTATATTTGAATTTGATCGTGCAAGAATGTTCAGATCTGGTTTACTTGGCTTTACACTGCATGGATCCCTTTCTCATTATTACTACCAATTCTGTGAGGTAATTAATTTCTCTGTTTTTATCTTCTCTCTATTGAATGTGATAACCATGAAATTTCTGAAGGCTTATGTTGCTGTTTTAGGCTTTGTTTCCCTTTGACGATTGGTGGGTGGTTCCTGCTAAAGTTATCTTTGATCAGACGGCATGGTCTGCTGTCTGGAACAGCATTTACTATACGCTTTTGGGCTTGTTGCGCCTTGAGTCACCTGTCAGTATCTATAGTGAGTGGAAGGCTACATTTTGGCCCATGTTAACTGTAAGAACTTCTACTCTACTTTGAAATTACTCTCTTTTTCCTCATAGAATTCTAAGTACCAGCTGCAGTTTTTTGTTTATAATCGCTGACGGTAGCCACTGAGATACTGTCTGTATTGTGCGACATAACTTTATTGTTTTTGGATGAACTAGCTTGATTTCACTCCCTAATTGTTTTCTGTTAATTTTTTCAAGTTTTTAGTAAATGCATGAGCTTATGGTTTCCCAAGATTCTGTTTTGTTCTTTGCAGATTAACTTACGTACCTTCGCTGACGTTATGAAACTACTATTTTTTTTATGTTGGCGCCTGTTGCTTGATTCTGGGATTCCTACAGGAACATGAATTGTGTTGTTTTGTATATTGTGCTTATTATGCTGAGATAGTGCAACTAAAATGTCCCTTTTTATTGTTTTCAGGCAGGATGGAAGCTTTGGCCTTTTGCTCATCTAGTTACGTATGGCGTGATCCCCGTTGAACAAAGGCTTCTTTGGGTTGATTGTGTCGAACTCATTTGGGTCACAATACTTTCAACGTAAGCATTTTCCCATGACCAACTTCGTGTTTATGCGAAATCATGGTGACATGGTTTCCCTGATAACAGAGTGGTTATTATACTTATCCCTAACCATCCCCACTCGGAGTAATTATTTTACCCTTTTGATGGTTTGAATTCTTCCCAAAATCAATTACAATCTAGTATTAATTTTGATGTTCCTATGAGGCAAAAACTTTGCGCAATTTTAATCAGGATTTGAATATTAAAACAAAAGCCGAGTTTGCCACCCAGAGTTTTGCTTTTCTATCTCTAAGCCACAGAGTGTTGCTTTTCTATCTATACTTTAGTTGGGGGTACCTAACTCAAGTTATTTTGTTTTGTCTTCTTTTATTATTGTGTACTCCACCCGTTTACAAATAAGTGTCGTATTAGATTTTTTTTTTTTTTTTTAAATTATAATGTGTCGTTTTAGACTATTTTTCAACCTAGTATTAATTTTGATTTTTCACTATAGAAACGTTTGAACAATTTCAATCAAGATTTGGATCTTAAAAATAAGCTGAGTTTGCCACCAGGGGCGAATCTACACTTAGTAATAGGGGGCAATTGACCCCCCTCAAATTTTAATTCCTTTTACTATTGATATTAAAAATATTAATTTGCACCCTTCCCTCCTCTTTAAATTTATTTTGCACCCCCAAATTTTTTATTCAACGTCACTCACCATACCAACTTGTCCACAATTATCAATTAACAATTCAACACTTCTTTTATTTTACTATTAATTTTGTATATTTTCATTTTACAATTTTAATTGGCTCATATAAAAGATTTGAACTCTTTTTATTGTCCGGGCTAGGTTGGTATTTTTTGACCGAAAATCGGAAACCGAACTGAATTGAACCGAACTAATGGGAAAATAAACCGAACCGAACCGACTTATGTATAACGGTAACCGAAAATCGGTTACCAAAATGTTATTAGTTCGGTATCGGTTCTGAACCCATTATGTCGTGTCTTTTGCCCCCTCTCACCTATTTTTCTAGTTTCGCCCCTGTTTGCCACCTAGGATTTTACTAGAGTCGGGAGTAACTAATTCATTCATTTTATTTTATTTTGTTTTCTAATTGAGTGTTGTTTTGGTTGTACTTTTTTTGTTTTTAATAATTTGTCATTTTAGACTGATCTTCCAATTATATACTATAAGATCTTTTAGTATGGAAAGAGAGTAAATAAAGTATAAATATAGATAAAACAGTAAAAATATGAAAAGAAAGAATAATTATTAAGAAAATAATATATAAATATACGATTTCAGTGGATTTTTAGGTAGGTAATACATGAATTGTTGACAGTTATTTGTAAATGGAAGAACTTAACATGAATGAAGTTTAGGCACCGACTAGCTTGGTGCAAATCCGTTGTCATGAGTTTATGAAATGATATCATTGTGTCATTCCTGAGAGTTCGAAAATCCGAATCTCACTTTTTTTTTGGCAGTTACTCAAATGAGAAATCGGAGGCTAGAATATCTGAAGTACCTGCTGAAGCTAATCAGAGTTTGCCGCCATCACAGGGTCCTCCTGAGGTATACCGTTGGCTAACATTTTATTAACAAATAATTACCACATATACCAACCATTGAATTCGGTCGTTTCTTTTATTCTGATTACACTTTTGTTTGCTGTGCACTTTACATAAAGCAGTAGAAGAGTGAAAGGAGTGAGTTTATAATGAGACAGACGAGGTTTGTCTTAATACTCGATTGCATTGGGAGAGCAAAACTCTTCTTCATGAATGAAAGAAAAAGGCAATGTCGCGTGGAATTTGCGTTATTCGTATTTATGTAGAGGGCACGGGGACTGGTAAGCATAATGCTGAATACTTGTGTATATATAATTATATAAAAAATCACATGTAAGTCTTATATCCTTTCGTCCAATGATACTGTTATTGAGTGGTATAGACTATAATTTTGGTGTGTGACATTAATATTACAACTTAAACAACCATTAGATGAAATAACTGAGCCGATAATGTGTTTGTTATTCTGTACCATTAGATGAAATAATGTGTTTCTTATTCTGTATTATTTCCGTAAATAGTACCCCAGATTGCCGATAATAAATCTGTGAGGTTCAAACTGAGCCGTTTTTCTTTAAATAGCAAAGTGCAGACGCGATTAATACATA